TTTTGGGACATGTTGGTATAATTGGTTAAGGTCCCGAGGGCCTCGGGTGGATTTCGGAAGGTTAACGGAATAAATTTCGGACCAAAGAGTTGCTGAAATTTTCTGCAGAAAGCTGTTTTGACAGCAACTAGTGCAATCGCGGAGCTGAATTTGGAAGCTTATATCTCGAAATCTATAAGGAATCTGAAAATTTGCAAAACATAAAAGTTGTTGCCCTTGCATTCTAGTTTCCAGAAAGTTCAACCATTCATGATTTGGACATTTTATCAGAAAGTTATGATCGATTGAAGATGGCTAGTGGACCAGTTTTGACAGAATTTTCTGATGCATGGAGCCGACTTTAGAAGCTCATATCTCGGAATATATAAAGAGTTATATGGTGTGAAACCTATAAAATGAATGATTTTTGAGTCTAATTTCTAAATCTTCAAACCGTTTGTCATTTGGATATTTTCACAAGGAGTTATGGACGTTTTAACAGAAGGTGTACAGCAGGGGAAAATTATAATAGGATGTACAACCTGCACTGAGCAAGGTACAACTCGATGAAGCCTGGGCAGATTGTTTTAAACACGAGTTTTGGCCCATTTCTTTCATTTCTTTCATTTGGCTTGGACGATTTTGGAGAGCTCAAGGAGGGATTTTCACCAAGCAACACTAGGTAAGTGATTTCTTCCTATTTTTGAGTTAAATATGTGATCTTACATGGATTTAGACATGGAAAATTAGTATAAATTTGGGAGTTTTGGGGAAGACCTAGAATTTGGAATTTTGGACTTTTACCTTGAATTTGAGCATGAAAATTAGAGAAAATTGTATATTTGAGTTAGTAAAGCTATTGGTAGAATTTATCTTCGAGAAATTTCGGATTCCGGGCACGTGGGCCCGAGGGCAGGCATTTTGGTCAATTTTTCGAGCGGAGTTGGGAACTTATATAATTTGAATTGTTACAAGTATTAGAGTGAACTTTTATTGGTTTGCCCGTTGTTTGAATAGTTTTGGGGCGTTGTGCATCAATTGGAGTCGTTGGAAGGGCTTGGAAGCCGGTTATGGAAATTTCGGAGCGAGGTGAGTCTCCTTTCTAACCTTGTAAGAGGGAATTATCCCCATAGGTGAGTTAATTGGTTATGTGCTCCTATTTGTGGGGGTTACGTACGCACGAGGTGGACGAGAGTCCGTGCGTAGCTACTATCATGCTTATGTCCGGGTAGTCTAGGATCCAAAATCATGTTTTACTTGTGATAATTGTAACCTTATTGATAGTTTAAATTGCTTAAATCATACCGAAGTGGCAAATGACTTTCTAAAAGAATTAAACTTCATCTTCTTGGCTTGTAAAAGAGAAATTTACATCTCCTTGAGTAATTATTTCCCTGATGAAGTTTTCACTGACTGTTTGAATGTGTGTTTCTATGTGTACCTGCGTCGCATGTATGATTCGCGAGCAGGGTAATTGTTTATTTATATTTGACCGTGTCGCATGTATGATTCGCGAGCGGGGTAATAGATGCATCTATAGTTCGTGCCATTTGACCCTCTGGCAGTGCACAATTTAAATATTATTGGATCGGGCCGTACGTCCTCGGCATGATTTGCGCATGCTTGTATTGCTTGCCTTGGAATTTATTGAAGTGATGTTGTTCCTTTCCGGCGTGAGAATAAATGTATAAATGACGAAAAGGAATTTGGAAATTTCCTATAAAAGAAAGAATTGTTTACTTGCTTCATTCTATTGAATTACAATCATGTTTATAAAAATCCACGATTTAATATATTATTGATATAACATTATTGGACCACTAGTAAGTGTCGAAGTCGACCTCTCGTCTCTACTTCTTCGAGATTAGACGGGATACTTACTGAGTACACATTATTTTCGTACTCATACTACACTTGTTGTGCATTTTTGTTGCACAGGTTTATGTGTGACTAGTGGCTTAGTGGCATAGCGGCATGGTTGATACGGAGACTTAGGTGAGCTACACTTATCGAGATAACTCGCAGCCAGCAGAGTCTCCTTCAGAGTATTATACTGTATTTTTATTTCTGTCTACTTTGTATACTGGACAGTTACTGTATTTTATTTCATTCCCTAGTAAATTGCACTTGTGACACCGGGTTTTGGGATGTCTATGGGTTTATTCAGAAATTTAGAATTGTTAAATGTTTCATTATTTATTCAGTGGAATTTATTATGTATTGTTTAAACGTATAAAAGAAGTGATTTCAGAAATATTTAAAACGAGAAGTTACTAGTTATTTTTTGTTGGCTTGCCTGACAATGGTGTCCGGCGCCATCACGATCCTTAGTGGATTTTGGGTCGTGACATTGAGTATGAACATAAGCTACAAGATATTCAACTTTTATCCCAACTGATAGACAATAATCATCAAAAGCTTGAGATGGGAATTCTCCAGCATTATCAAGGCGAATAACCTTTATAGGATAATATGGGAACTGTGCCCTTAATCGAATTATTGGGCTAATAACTTTGCAAACGCCAGGTTGCGAGATGATAGTAGGCACACATGAGACCATCTTGAAGATGCATCTATTAGAACCATAAAATATCTAAACAACCCACTTGGTGGGTGAATAGGTCCACATATATTCCTATGTATACGCTCTAAAAAGGTAAGGGATTCAGTGCCAACCTTCATTGGTGATGGTCTAGTGATCATTTTGCCTTGATAACAAGCATCACAAGAAAATTCGTCATTTGTAAGAATCTTCATGTCCTTTAATGGATGCCCACTCGAATTTTCAGTAATTCGTCTCATCATTATTGATCCAGGATGGCCCAAACGGCTATGCCAAAGCACAAAAGTATCTGAATCCGTAAACTTCTGGTTTACGATAGAGTGTGCTTCAATTGTACTAATTTTTGAATAGTATAAGCCAGAAGATAAAGTCGGTAACTTTTCTACAATGCATTTTTGGCCAGAAATATTCCTTGTAATACAAAGATATTCCACGTTCATTTCATCTATTGTCTCAAAATGATACCCATTTCGGCGGATATCAATAAAACTCAACAAGTTTCTTCGGGACTTGGGGGAGAACAATGCATTGTCTATAATAAGTTTTGTTCCCTTAAACAGAAATATAATGGCTCTTCTGGAGTCTTCAATCAAACTTATATTACCAGAAATTGTTGAAACATTTGATTTTTCCTTATGCAAATAAGAAAAGTATTTCTGATCCTTGAATATGGCATGAGTTGTTCCACTATCAATAACATAAATATCTTCATGATTTGTCTTTAACCCAAACGTAATTTGAGGATTATCCATATTCTTCAAAATGACATAAATAAAATATATTATAGTAAACATCATTATCAAAGCATAATTTTTATTTATGTACAAAAATTACATAACCATACTATCTATTACAAATAACAAAAATTTAAATATTTACATTTCTACAGATTCACCACAGATTACAAGACTTGTTTCTCCTTCTGGGAGTGCAAAGTAATCAGCTGCATCCAAATGCATGAAGTCTAAATTATCTTCAGAAATAAAATTTGCTTCAGCATTTTTCTCTGTCTTCTTCAGGGAGGCTTGATAAAGCTGAACTAGGTGCTTTGGCGTACAGTAGGTACGTGACCAGTGCCCTTTTCCTCCACATCTATAGCATGCATTTTCTGCATTTGTTGCTTGCACCGCTTCATGCTTTTGTTCCTTCCTTTTCCACTGCTGGTGGCGAGGAGGGTTCTTTGGTGCATTATTATTACCATGATCAGAGTTTCTTCCCCGACCAAGGCCATGACCACGACTGGGGCCACGACCTCTTCCACGTCTAACTTGGTGGAAGTTCGTCTCATTCACTTCAGGGAATGGACAAGAACCAGTGGGTCGGCTTTCATGGTTTTTCATTAGTACCCCATTATGTTGCTCGACTATAAGAAGATGTGAGATAAGTTCAGAATACTTTTTAAATCCCATCTCTCGATATTGCTGCTGTAGGAGCATATTCGAGGCATGAAAAGTGGTGAAAGTTTTCTCCAACATATCATGATCAGTAATATTTTCACCACATAATTTCAATTGGAAAATAATTCTGAACATAGCAGAATTATATTCACTTATAGATTTAAAATCTTGTAGCCTTAGATGAGTCCAAGCATAACGTGCCTGTGGAAGAACGACCATCTTCAGGTAGTCATATCTATCTTTCAAATTATTCCACAGTATGACTGAATCTTTAATAGTGAGATGTTCCATTTTCAGGCCCTCATCAAGGTGATGACGTAGGAATATCATTGATTTGGCATGGTCTTAGTTTGATGCCTGATTTTTATCCTTGATGGTGTCTGCCAGACCCATCGCATCAAGATGGATTTCAGCATCAAGCACCCAAGACATGTAGCTTTTGCCCGATATATCTGGGGCTACAAATTCAAGTTTAGAAAGATTTGACATTATATGGAAAAAGAAAGTTCGTACCTCAGATACTTTCAAAGTATTTGCTCAAGATGGCAGAGTCTCGTGCTGATAACGTGTTATAAAATAAAGACTGTAAAGTAAAGACAAGTATAGAGAGAAACTGATATATTATTCGAATTCAAACTGATGTACATAATGAACTGAAATCTCTTCTATTTATAGAAGTAAGGAAGCTGTTGTGTAAGCTGCTACTGCAAGCTGCTGCGTAAGCTGCTACTATACCAGATATGGATAATCTTTTACTGAGAGTAATGTTTATCCATAACGGAGTACTGAAAGGATAATCTTTTACTGAGAGTAATGTTTATCCATATGGATATTAAATTTCTTTCTACTATATTAGAAGTGCGGGTGTATCAGCCGATACAGACGCGTCTTTGTCGACATGCCAGCTTAAGCTTTTATATTTTTGCCCCTATTTTGAATGCCACATTAAATTATTTAATAGGAATTGAAAATTTTCAAACTGACAGAGGATGTGAATCTGTACACTTTGTGGAGTATTTTAGAGGAGGAAATATTACTACCGTCATAATTGACACAGAGAGAATTTTAAAAAGCGAAAAAAGAAGAAAAAGCACAAACTCATGAACATAACATTTCAGTAACTAAAAGGAGAAGGGCAAAAAGGGGAAGGTAGATCCACAATTGTAAAAGCGTGGAGGTTGGGCATCATTTTGTGAAGGTAGCAGAAGAGAAGAGATCTACTTACTCCCTCCATATCTCTAACCCCCATCTTCCTCAATCTTCATATTTTTGGCTTCCAAATTGCTGATAGTTTTAACAGAGAAGATAGCCATTGGCTGTATTCTATAGAATGATCGCCTCAACGGTGCGCAAGCCCTTGTTTGGCGTTACAGTATTGGCGTTTTCTCTCTTTCTCGCTCTCTTCTTATTCCCACCTTTTCCTTTCTTCTCCGATCCTACCCTTACCTTTAATTCTTCCCTGTAAGTCTTGCTTCTTGTTCCTTTTTATTTCTACGTTTGTTAATTGCTTTGGTTTCTGTGTTTAAGTCTATGGGCATTTTTTTTTTCTTCCTTCATGGAGTAAACTTCAAGATCCAATCTTTTCTTATACTTAATTTTGTGTAAAGCCCATTTTTCGGTCTTCAATTTTCTATAATAGCAATCTGATCTGTTTGAATTTGAGTGCAATTTCAGGGTTGGAAGACTGGAGATATGGAGCATTCGAAGGATAGCCGAGTGGCGACCTTGCAATTGGTGGCTCCAACCCCAACTTAATGGTTAGTTTTTAACTGATACTCAAACAGTAAATAGCTACTAGTATAACATTAGATCCCATTGTCATTGATGCTGATTTGAATAACTATACTCACTACTATGTTGTTATCTCGTGTATTTCTGGTGGTCTATTGATGGAGATTGAGCTGACTCGTACCAGGGGAAATTTAATTTGGGTAATAGTTATGTATATAACCTTCTCCTTGGGGAGTGGGTAAAAACAAGAAATAGGATAGAAGCTGTAGATTTTTTTAATTATGAAGAGGATAGAAGCTGTACTTATGCATATAACCTTCTCCTCTGAGGGGTTCTATGTTTTCTAAGTCGAGCATTTGACTGGCTTCCAATGCAGACATGGTTTTGTTGTTGAAATGCTGCAGCTCTTCCTGCTCAGACTAATGGGTATATTCGAGTGGATTGCTATGGTGGGCTCAATCAGATGAGGAGAGACGTAAGTATTGTTATTTGCTGCTCATACACTGAGTTTCCTACTGATTGAGATGCGATGATAAAATTCATATTCAATTTGTTTCTCGTCGCTGGTGATCTGCAGTTGTGTGATGGTGTTGGAATAGCTCGTTTGCTGAATGCTACCCTTGTCTTGCCAAAGTTTGAAGTGGCTGCATATTGGAATGAATCAAGGTATGCTATTGTGGTGACTTCTATATGTATTTCATCTTCCCTTTTTTAACCGACTTGATTACTCCTTGTAGGATCTGGATCTTCTTTAGTCATTCATTCGTTACTATCAGTGTTATCAAAGGCGCGCTTAAGCCCTAAAGAAAGGCTCAAACATGTTGAGCGCTTTGCCTCGCTTAACAGGCGCTTAAGTGTTGTCATCAAGGCTCCAAGACATACTTTTCCTTGCCAATGAGTGTAATCCTGAGGAGGGACACTAAACAATTACTAATATTTCACTTTATCATAAATTTTCTTCAATTTCTTTGTTCATATATTTGGTATTTATACTTATAGATATTAGTCTTGGACTACACATAAATATTTGTTATTTTTCTCTATTTGCGCATTTTTTTTCATTAAAGCCCACGCTTTATTTGACCATAGAGCTTTTTTGCGCTTTTCGCCTTTGATAACACTGGTTGCTATGTCTAATTAGCAGACAACTCTGCAGATTTACATGGTTAAGAACTACAACTACAACAATAATCCAGTGTAATTCCACAAGTGGGGTCTCGGGGTAAGTGTGCACGCAGACCTTACCCCTATCTTCAAGAAGGCAGAGAGACTGTTCCTAGTAGACCCTCGGCTAGGGAAGGTGAAAGGAAGGTCCACTACAAGCACACCAATCATAAAACCGAAGCAAAAATGCAAAACTAACACTAGGTACCGCAATTAGAAAGCCGAAACAAAAGCAACAACAGCAGTAATAGAGGTCAAGGAATACGAAAATACACAAATGACACAAGGACAACGCTTGACTACCTATCCTAACCCTTTATCTTTATTCTCAACGTCCATACCTTCCTATCCTGGTCATCTCCTCAGTAAGCTAGAGCAACGCCATATCTTGCCTAATCACCTCTCCCCAATACATCTTCGGCCTGCCCTTACCTCTCCTTAGGCCCCTCCAGGGCTAACCTCTCACACCTCACCGGTGCATTTGTGCGTCTCCTCTTCACATGCCCGGACCATCTAAGTCTCCTCCTGCATCTTGTCCTCCACAGGGGCTACATCCACCTTGTCCTAAATGACTTCATTTCTAATTCTATCTAACATGGTATGCCCGCACATCCATCTCAACATCCTATTTCAGCCACTTAATCTTTTGGACATGGGAGTTCTTGACCAACCAACTCTCCGTCCCATACAACATAGTCGGTCTGACCACCGCTCTGTAGAACTTACCTTTTAAGTTTTTGTGGCACATTCTTATCACACAAAACAGTAGTAGCGAGCCTCCATTTAATCTACCCCGCCGCAATACGATGTGTAACATCCTCGTCGATCTCTCCATTCCCTTGTATAACCGACCCAAGGTATATAAAACTCTCTCTCCTAGGAATGGCTTGAGAATCAAACCTCACGTCTTCGCCCACTACCTAAGTCGCACCAGTGAACTTGTACTCCAAGTATTCTGTCTTGGTCCTGCTTAACTTGAAACCTTTAGACTCCAGGGTCTGCCTCCAAACCTCTAACCTCTCGTTAACACCGCCTCGCGTCGCGTCAATCAGTATAATGCAAATACCATGCTCCACGGCACCTCGCCTTGAATGTGGCGCGTTAGTGCGTTGATCGCCAAGGCAAATAGAAATGGGCTGACGGCTGAACCCTGGTACAACCCCATCATAACTGGGAAGTGTTTCGAGTCCCACGGTCCTCACCCGAGTCTTAGCTACTTCATACATGTCCTTAGTAGCCCTAATGTATGCAACAAGACATGGTTAAGAACTGTCTTAGCACTTTTTAGAAGTTTTCTTTATAATGTTTTCCTATTCTTCCTTTTCATGCCTCTGAATGACTTGGTTTTATGTTTCAGCGGTTTTGAAGATGTGTTTGATGTAGACTACTTCATCCAACAAATGAAAGGCTTTGTTGAAGTGGTAAAGGAGCTTCCAATCGAGATTGCATCAAAAGATCCCGTAAGAGTCGATTGCAGCAAACGCAAAGGCCAATTTGACTATGTTGAGAGTGTTCTTCCTTCCCTACTGAAGCATGGTTATATCTCAATCACCCCTGCAATGAGTCAAAGAAGGGATAGGTACATCTTTTGTGATCAGAGTTATGTAGATAACTTTTAACCAATCATTTCTGCACGCTGCTTTTAAAGGATTTAGTAGTTTAATTATCCTTATAAGGAGAATTACTTATGTTTGCTTTTCAACATTCTTATAATCTCTTAGGTACCCTCTTTATGCAAAAGCTGCACTTTGTCAGGGTTGTTATAGTGCATTGCGCCTTACAAGCACATTAGAGAAGAAAGCGCTTGAGCTTCTGCAAGCTATACCAAAGCCCTTCTTATCGCTTCACCTTCGATTTGAACCTGACATGGTAGCTTATAGTCAATGTGAGTACACTGGTCTTTCTCTTGCTTCTGCAAAAGCTATAGAAGCTGCACGGGTTGATAGGAAACCTTGGACCGGAGAAATGGCTCGTATTTGGAGAAGCCGTGGTAAGTGTCCACTTACACCAAATGAAACTGCACTCATACTTGAAGCTTTAGCCATACCCACCAATACGACTATTTATTTGGCGGCCGGTGATGGCCTGATGGAACTTGAGGGACTGACATCGATGTACACCAATGTTGTTACTAAATCTAGTCTTCTTAGTGGAGAGGACTTCACAACCATGCATGGGAATACAAAAGCTGCACTTGATTATTATGTGTCTATTAACAGTGATTCTTACATGGCTACTTATTTTGGGAACATGGATAAGATGGTTGCAGCAATGCGAGCTTTCAAGGGGTTGTATAAGACACTTTTCTTAAACAGGAAGGCTTTTGCATTGTTAACCTCTCAGGGGCTTAAAGGGAAGGAACTCACAGAAGCCCTGTGGAAGGTTCATAGAGATGATTTCATAATGGGTAGAGGATCTGCTTTACCAGACTGTTTTTGCGAATTCAATTTATGAACTCAGTTTTCTTGTTTTCCTCTGTAAGTTAAATTTTTTAAAATGTTTTGGTTATACACCCAGAGCAATGTATTTGTGCCTAGTAGTTTTCTTTTAGAAGATCTGTCTTGTGCTTGATGTAGGTGTTGATCACAAATAGGGGTGTTCATGGTTCGGTTTGGATCGTTTTTTCCCTAAAAAAAATTAAACCAAGTAAGTCGATTTTTCAAATATTAGAACCAAACCAAACCAATTAAGTCGGTTTTTTCTCGATTCGGTTTATGTCGGTTTTTCGGTTTTTTCGGTTATTTATCGGTTTTTTTTTAAATATAAGACATATACTACCAAACACATATTCCGGAGACCACATTTTCAACGTAACACTATCAAATCAACTGCCCTTTGAGAAATCTATTATTTATCAAGATATATTGATGATAATTGAATCAAATAGTGATGAATAATTTAAGGACTCAATTAAAAATATGTTAATTTTAACACGAATTGGATTCTTACACTTAACAAAAGAAAGAGGAAACTACACTAACTACCCACTAAACCCAAAATAATAATCCGGTTTTACCCATTTTAATAGTAATTACTATACCTACCTAAGCCAACCAAAATTATTACTCGTTCACCCATTTCTCAATTGCCTTACCAACCTCTCTCCTCCTTAAAGCTTCCCTTTCCCCTTTCCCTCCTTCCTGTTTCTTTTTCCAGCAACAAAATACTATCTCCGTCTTACATATCTTATATTTTCTCGTAGTGTTTATGTTTGTTCGAGTCACTGCACAGTTTTTTATTGTGATTTTAATGAGTGAAATTTGATATGGTTTAATGATAAGCAAAATAACTATTTTATACGTGCAGTGTTACAAATAATTATTTCTAATATCTTTTGAGAAGTTCATAGTGATTTATTGTAAGAAAAATTAGATCAACCATTGAAAGACCTTGAAACTTGACAATCATAAATAGCATTTGTCGAGTTTGTAATTGTTTGATTAGATTTTGACTGGCATGATTAAAATATCGATTGGCAACTGTAACTAAATGTTGAGTCAGTTTGGTCGTGACTTAGAGCTGATTTGAGGTGATTGAGATCGAAATTTTTAGTTGAAAATCAAAGAAGAACACAACTATAGTAATAATCGAAGAAAAACACTGTTACCTAATAGTATACCGCTACAGTATACTAATATACTATAGGAGTATATAGTTATACTACAACAGTATACCATTATAGTATACAAATATATTGTTATGGTATACTGTAATAATATGCAAGATATTGTAACAATATGCTGTAAAAGTATACAATATACTATAATAGTATACTTATTACCCGTAAATTCACTTGCATTTTCCCTTTTAATTTGTTTTAAGCTTTTACCTAGCGTGAGCAGCAAAGTGAAAATGCAAAAATAAAATAAAATTATAGTATGCTATATAATGTAACGGTATACTCTTACAATTAGATCCTTTTAGAATTTATTAAAATTTTTATTGACAATTGATATTTTTTCAGTTTAATAATTGAATTAAACTTTTTTTAACTCTTTACGTACAATTGTATACCCTGTTGGTATAACTATATACTATACTGGTATCAAATGTTAGTTAATATTTTTTTGGTTGTATTAGCTACATTTAATTGGTACACAATTTGATTTTTCTCTAGTAATAATATATATAAAAAAAAAGAATAATAAAAAATAGTGAAAATAGTATATGAAATTAGATTATGAGGAGAAAAGGAATATAAAAAAAAAAGAAGTTAAATGAAATTAGAATAGGAAAAAAGAAAAAAATAAGAAGAAAACGAGAAAAAAGAAAAGGAGAAAAGAAAAAGAAAAGAAAAGAAGCATAGAAATAAAAAAAAATTGGAGATTAAAGAGAAAAATCCCCACAAAACCTACTATGGGTAAGAAATGTAATTAGTTTATGGTAGAAAAACAAATGGGTAGACAAGGGTAAATAGTTTTGTTTTGTAAGAATTGGATTCTTACACTTAACAAAAGAAAATTACCAATCAAATTAAAATGTAAAGGAGAAGAACTATACTAAAAGTGAAAACTATTAACATTTACCATTAAATTTTTGAAACTTTATATAAAAATATACATATATATAGGTATAATAATAAATTTGAAATAGCTACTCCTATAGCCGGTTTGGTTCGGTTTTTTTCTGATTAAAACCAAAACCAAACCAAATTTGACCGGTTTTTAAAATTCAAACCCAAAACCAAACCAAACCAAAAAGTATCGATTTTTTTGGTCGGTTTGATTTGGTTTTCGATTTGGTTCGATTTTTCGGGTTTTTATGAACACCCTAATCACAAATTTATGCGATAACATTTAATTCAAGTATTCTTTTTTTGAAGATTATGGATGGCAAGATTTAGCGATAATTCACTTTCATTTCTTCTTTTAAGTGGTGCCTTTTCCTTTCGCCTGTACACAGTTTTATACGTACCTCCTCCTCTTCTTCTTCTTTCTATCTTCTTTTTCCGCAGATAATGGCGTTTTTTCCCCATAAGATGGAATATGGTATTGTGAAGGATATATAGGTCATTTATCCTTCTTTTGTTGATCCAATGGTTAACGCTCTGTACATAAATTAGTCCCATGCCAGAGTGGCGTTACTATTTACCAATTCACCATGATGACGAGTTCACCTAAATGTTGTGGGAAAAAACCCTAATTATTGCAGCAAAGTAGGTAATATTATCTTGTTTGCAGCAAACGGTAAGCTAAACAGTCACCTGGCAATTTCCTTCTCTGCGGGGATAACAGTAAATACAAGAAGATCGTCAGTTTTGTTTAATGTTACACTTCAGGGTTTCTTTCCATCAGTTTCTGGAAGGATGACTTCCTCTGCCATTCTTTCTGGGTTAAGTGCACAGGCACTTCAAGTAATATTTCTCTCCTACTACATCAAATTCGAACTAAATCTCCTCCGACCATCCTTTTCGAAACAAACAAATGCACTTCGAGGCATCTAAGAATATTCTACTTGCACTTTTCCTTTTATATAAATCAAAGCATTTCATAAATACCACATCAACTTGGTTTTACATCGTAATCTAAAAGTCAAATTACTAAATTACCCCTTTATTATTTATTAAAAGTGTCCTTTTAATTAACTTGAATATAAGAACCTAAAACGTGTGTCACTTCAGCAAAGTCCCCTACAACAGACGCCACCCTACGAACTGACGCCAAGCATACAGACATTTTTTTGAAGAAGAGTTGCCACCGTTATCCTCTTTAAAAATTAGAAAGTCTCATGACACTTTTTTCTCACTAATCGATTCCCCATGTTAAAGATTCCACCAGGTTTGTCTCCTTTTAAAAATTCTATTTTTGTTTAATTCTCCGCTTATTTTCATCTAAATCTACTTTTACAAATTGTTAGTGAACTGGGATATACTCTGTGGAATGGTTCTATTTTAGAGATGACTGGAATTTAATTGAGTTCTAATTTTTCAAGGCTTAGTTTTCTTTATTTCCTTTTTAAAATTATTGTATTTTTCTCTCAACTTATTTTCAGTTACTGGTACTTTTATTGATTTCTAGGTCTACTTTTACAATTTTTTTAGAGCCCGAATTCAGTATCTCCGGGTTTACAATGAGAGAAAGTAAATTGAAATTTGTGAATTTAATTTAATTCCTTACACTTGGTCTTTCTTGAAAAGCACAATTGTGACAAGTCTATTTCACTATTATGGTATTTCTCTTTTCCAATATTCTAGATGTTAAATCTTGCCCATATACTAAAAAAAATTGCCATTTTCCTGAGACCTGGCATAGAGCAGAATCAGTTAGAGGAATAAGGCTTTAGATTCAAAGTGATAGTCTTTTACGCTGTTACTTGTAATTTTAATTTATTCTCTAATATATTAGGTGTTGCTTTCAAATGTTGGTGGAGAAAGTAAGCAGTATTTAGGGTTGACATTTAGTTTTGAAGTTTATAAGGATTTGGAGTTTTCCCTGGTTAAATTGGATCATTCCCAGTTCAGCATTTATGTTCTCCATTATTTCGTTTACAGATTATTTTTAAAATTGAAAATAATTATATGTCATATTTAATATAAATATGTCATAAATATTATTTATGAAAGAGCCATTACAGATGAGAATAATAATAACAGATACAACGGAATTTCGCATAAATCCATGCCTTAGTTTATGTGGGACTTTCTTCATTGGAATAGAATAGTTAGGATAAAATTTTCACTTATAATATTGATTTTACTTTTTATTTCAAGTCTGACGATATTGATTTGGTACAAGAATGGGAGGCACGCGTGGAGTAAATTATAACGAGCAAATTCTTGATCTATTGGATCATTCCTATGTCAACTTGCAAGTAATGATCTTAATTGCTAACATTGCTTTGTAGTATAATCTTTCGAATATAAATAGATCTAGAATATCATATTCCATGAAAGATGTTGCCACATGACTTATAATACTGTTATTTTATGCTTCTTACTCTTGCAGACAAGCTCCTATATTTGAGCAAGATGAATTCACACATATTTACGAACAACTCTGTAAATTTCCCCATTCCATTGCTTTTAGTTTGTTGCATTCCTGAAATTAATTTACACGAAACATACTTCTTGCAAATGATGGTAAAATTTTTTTACTGTATCAGGATCATTTTAGGAAAGTACAACGACAAAGCAACATTAAAATTCATCATTTTAATTCATATACCAATTCCTTCTACACTTTCCTCTTTATTTATGGGTTATTTCAGTTTATTTTACATCGTATAATTATTTCTATGTTGAACTTATATTGTCTTTATCTAAGCCTCACTTAATTAATTTGGGAGAGCTCCTCGCATAAGGCTAACATGAAAAAGGACCATAGTCGTCCGAATAAGATCTCAGCTCAAAGATTTAATTGAAAAATATGAATTGAAGTAATTTTGAAGAGCACATTATATATCGTGGGCTATTGATTATCTAATTTTCAGCCAGTAGATAAAAGAGAATTCATTATACAATTCAAATTGTTATTTTCCAATGATGATATATCAAGCTTAAACATTTTACTGAAAAATATTAATTGAGTAACTTGAACATTAAAGAGTATTCTTTAATTTATCTTACTTGGACTCATTTGGCAATTCAATTCTTCATATTTAACAATAAAATTTGAACTCTAACACTTATTAGTATATTAAACACATACTTGTAGGTGTACGTGAGGAAATTGAAGATTGTGTGCATGACATGTGTACTGAAATAGAAAAAGTGAGGCTTCAATATTCCATAAAAGAGCAATCAATCTTGAGAAGACAATTATGCTAATACGGAATTGATACTATTATGGCGGAAGGATATATGGAAGATAAAGTTGACCAAAGAATGTTGCTTACAGCATCACCTATTGGAGCAATCAATTTCGTATGGGAGATATACCAAAACTTAATGATAGTGTTATGACAGAAGAACAAAGATTGATGTGGATAAAGAGCAATACGCCTTTTCCCTTTATTCATAAAGAGTCTTAAAGTTATATTTTTCAAATATGTACGCATATTAAAGATTTATAACTATCATTTAGCATTTAGTAAGAAATTTATATGAAAAACACGTGCAACGCACGTGTAGAGAGACTAGTATATATATATATATGTATAGGGTTTACATCAAAATTCCAAAAAAATCGATTTCTTTTTACAATGTGAGATATCCTTTTGCGCCGAAAAGTATTAACTAAATAAAAAAGACCTTCTAACTTTCAACAGTAGGCTTTCAACTTCCTCAAAAGTTCTATTATATCTCTCTCCAAATCAACCGGAAAAAATGCACAAAATGAGCCTCCTTACCAGATCTTCCTTTCAAGCATCTAGCCTTCTCATTCTCAACTTGCCCTGACATCCAACACTGTCCTAGGTCATTCTCATGACAATTTAAGCATGGAGTAAACTATGGAGCATACAGTGAAATGCAATGTAGAAAGAAGTGATCAAAATCCCCCTCATCCTTTGCAAAACACCACCAACTGACAAGAGTGCTTAAAACTTGCTTTTTTGTTGTCTGTCGTCCATACTGGCTAACATGGGTCTGAAGTCACCTCTCGTAGATGAAAAAAAGAAGGCAGCCCGGTGCACTAAGCTTCCACTATGCGCAGGGTCCGGGGAAGGGACGGACCACAAGGGTCTATCGTACGCAGACTTACCCTACATTTCTGCTAGTGATTATAATACAATTTCAACAAACAATTTCAAGGTTCAGCCTGCCCAAATCTCTATGTCCTCTCTGAATTGTGCAACTGCAACTTCTCTGAAGCAAATTGCCCATCTAATTCCAGTCCTAATCTTGAATGGGCGTCCTAAAGGAAATATCTTATGACACTTGACCTCCGTATCTCCTTAATCGCTCACGTAAAGTGGCCTCTTTATCAGTCGTGATCGAGAATAGGTTGGAAATTCTTCTTTCAGTGCAGAATTCCCGCACCATACATCAAGCCAAAAACGGGTATGGTTGCCATTTTACCAAAGCTCAAAGCAAATGCATTTTGAGAAAATAGAATCCTTTAATAACGTCCTCTTACAGGGATGAGCCTTCCTCCAAAGTGCTTCTACATGCAAATATACCATACTTTTACATTCTTTAATTGGTAAAGCTGTAATAATTTACATTCTTAAGCAAAGAATTTTAAGCATGCAAATCAAGCATTGTATGTAAACACGATGAGCAGAAATGGAAAACAACAAAAGGTCCATAATTGAGAGCAGCATCGGAGCAGAAAGCAACAAAAAAAAAAAAGGATCATCGAACAACATAAAATACGTACCACAAATAAGTATTAGTTCATCACGTCAGTCACAAGAAAAGAGATCAACCTTTTAGCATCTGATATATGCATTTTGCAATGAAAATCACCTGCATGAAACCAGATAAATTGCTATCAACAACATTTTTATATTTCGCGCTACATAGTCAAAATGTCATGAGAAGAAAAAGGCAAGTTTGCCCACCCTGGTTTTAGTTGCACTGCCACCAAAAGAGAAAACACCTAGATAAGCTGTAGCAGAACTGCAGCTGAAATTGGACTTTAGTTGGCTCCAAAACCATCAGTCTGCACAGGAGACCAAAGAAGGCTACAATCAGAGAGCTCCGTCCATCTTACAGAATATCCTGAATACAACTATAGTACATAATACTCTCTTGATAATGAAGACCTTCAGTCTTCTGCCAGTCCAAATATACCAAAAGCTTAACATCAGTTTCATCTTGATTATGAGATATGGTCTTTAACCAAGCTATGCAAGATCACTGAAGCCTCAGAGCTGAATCCAAGACTTAGGTACTGGTCAAATATCAAAGAATACTTTAATGCGACACTTAGCTCTGTCGCACTTAAGCTGCAGGAAATAATATTTTTCCATTCCTTGGATTTTCCATCTAAGCAAATTCCATTTAACAAGGCGGCGAAAGTAATTGGATCTGTTGTGTAACCTTTACTAATCATCTTGTCACGCAGTTGCAATGCAGTTTGGAGCATTTTATGTAAACAGAGGCAGATTATAATGGAATTGTATGCAGCATTTCTAGGGTGCCATCCATCTGATATCATTCTTTTAAAAGTACCCATAAACATAGAGTTCTTCTCATCGTGAGGATCATTTTTCTCCTCCGAGAAAATAGTAGGCGTGCAATGAGAAAACCCATTAACCAAATAATTGAACGTGACATCAGTTGGATAGCACTTGTGCATGAGCATTTGTTCAAAAATAAAAGCTGCTTTTGCAAGTTTTCCCACTTTACAAAAGCTGCCAATTAGTATACTATACGTTATCACATTAGGCATCATACCATTTGATTGCATTCTGTTGAATAAATCTTCAGCTCCCACAAGATCTCCATTCTGGCAAAAGCCATAAATCAGAGAGCTGTACGTGACCACATTTGGCATACAGATGCGCTTTACCATGTGAGCGAGCATGGTTAATGCTAGGCGTAAGTCATGCTGCTTTACATACCCATCAATTACTGTTGAATAACTAAATGCATCAGGAGCTATTTTTGACTTTTTCATTCTACTGAAGCAAGCAACTGCATCTTTCATCAGTCCAAACTTACAGTATCCCTTGATCATGGCATTGTACCCTACAAGGTCAGGATCCATACCCATTTCAATTGTCTTCTCAAACAGCTTCTTTGCTTCATGAAATTCCCCATTTCTTACACATCCATCTACCAAAGTGGCATACACATAAGCATCAGGTAATATACCATGGCCAAGCATCTCATCAAGGAGCTGCCTGGCAACAGGAAGCTTCAATTTTTTGCAGAGCCCACTCATCAAAACGTTATAAATGCCAGCATCAGGTAATACTCCCCTTTCTATCATCTTGTCTCGAATGACTAATGCAACATCAACTTCACCAGATACCACCAATCCATGGACAAGAGCTCCATAGGTTGATACATCAGGTTTATCACCATATTCCGTCATCTCAGCAAGCAAACTTAACGCCCTTTCAAAATCACCAAATTTGCAGTAGGCATGTATCATAGGGGTATAAGTAAACTTGGTTGGCACCAACCCAACATTCTTAACCTGCTCTAGAAGCTTTTCAGCTTCCTGAATTTTCTCATCCTTGCATGAATAAGAGATCAATGTGTTGTATGTCACTATATCTGGCTTACTGCCAGCTTCAATCATTCTTCTTGCGGTGTCCATTGCTTCCTCAGTAAAACCATGCCTACACCTAGCATGAATAATAGAGTTATACACTTGGACACTAATAATCACACCCCTTGCAACCATCTCCTGTACAAGCATATCAACTTTTCCAAAGTTCCCATCTTTACAAAACCCATTTATCAATGCCCCATAAGTCTCCACTGTGGGTAAAAAGCTCTTCAATTTTAACTCATTGAAAAGCCTATACGCGCTTCTAATGTCACCCTTCTTGCAATAGCCATCAATTAATGTGTTATAGAAAACAACATTTGGTACACAACCTTTACCCCACCTATCCTCAATCAATTTCCTCCCTTCTTCAATCTTCCCCTCTTTACTCAACCCTGTGACAATAATACAAGTGCTAAAATTATCCAAAAATTTATTCTCAACAGAACCACCATTTCTCTCAACGAGTTCATCATACAGTCGCCTAGCTGCTTTAATCTTACGATCTTTTACAAGACCATGAAGTAAAGAATTAACAGTAACTACATGTGGAACCAAATCATAAGTTTTCAATACAAAGTAATACAATTCAACAGCTTTATCAACCAAATTAGAATCAGAGTAAGCTTTAATTACAGCATCCAACGCCTCGAGTGTGGGCAACTTATCTTCACAAGTTGTCAAGTTGGGTAATAAAGTTTCAATTTCAGGAAAGACTCTAAACTTAGCCAAGAGTTTCAAAAGAGAAGAATAAGCAAAACGATCAAGGGGACAACCGTAGGGTCTTTGAGAAACCCAATCAAAGAACTTGAGACCCACATGAGCATCCTTAAGTTTGTCGAACACATGGTGGGCAATGTCGGAAGGGACAACTTCTTCCTCGGAAAGACGGGTTTCGACAGTGTGTTCCCATTGGTCTTGAGTTTGGAGGATTTGGCAGACCTCGTTAACGAGTTCGTTAATGCGGCGTGTTAAGGGGAAATTGGTCGGAGAAGGAGTTTTGGGTTTTGGGTTGTGAAGGGGTTTAATGCGGGAGAGGAGGGTTTTAGACATGTGAATTATAAAATGGTAAACTTAGGAGTCATCTCCCGGACGAAAGCTCAGTCCAGGAGAAAAGGGACTTACTACAAGAAACAGATGAAACAATAATCAAGCGGCTTTTGTCCAGCAACTCCAGAGACTGGTTGCAGTGTTTCGAACCTCAAACTATTCAACAGAGAACTTCTAACAGTGTACCAATCCCAGAGACTGCTGCTGTCTAAAACCTCAAAAGAGTTCTTTTTCTCGTTTGGGCGGGTGAGTGCGTGTACTTTGGTGTATCTTTAAGGGTATTAATTGAACATGCAGGAATATTAAATTAACAAATTTTCATAAAACACTATGAAAATTAGCCATCTATAAATACCATTTGCTATATTACGGATTATAGATACCTTTTCTGTGGTTATAAGATGTATTTGATGTATTTAAGCTATTGTATTCATGAATACAGTAGCAAAAATACGCGTGAATCAGGGAAGTCGAGCTAATCAGTTGTTGTATTCGATTATATTCGACTGTATTCATGGAATGAAACATGAGATTACAGCTGGACAGATTATTGTATTCGACTGTATTCACGGTGTGAAATAGGAGATTACACTGTTTTTAAAACGGAAAGTGAATCAATTCACATAATAAACTCCTAATATAACTCAACAAACTCAATTATAACACACAAATTTGTATTTTCAGTTATAAAAAGAATCTCAACCGAAAAATACCCCAAAAACATAGCAATCTTCAGAGAAATTATATAATACATCTGAATACATAAATTATATTAATTAAAAAAAACATATGGATACATTCATGGCATATAGCGAGACAGTGAATACAATGAAATACATAGAATACAGCGGGATACATTGAAATACAATGAAAAAAAAGACAGTGAATACAATGAAATACATGGAATACAACGAGATACATTGAATTACAATGAAAAAAAAAGACAATGAATGCAATGAAATACATGAAAATACATTGAAATATGTCAACAGAAAATCAAGTTGCTCAGCTCCAAACTCCGTCGTCTTTGTTCAAGAACAAACCCTAATTTTCGGCGAATCCGCCGTTCACCGGAAGCCGGTAGTGAAAACGCACCGCCTTCGTGGAAATTTCACTCTGAGTTGTGTGGCAAGATGACTTCTTCCAATTCTGGTGAGATCATGCTTAACGAACTGCTGTTATGGTTTATCAATTCTATGTCAGTTGGTGTAAAGAATCAGTGCATCTATTATACAATTAGAAGACAGTAAATTCGTCCTTAATTTGCTTTCATAGTAAATCCCTTTGTTCTTCTGCCCGAGCATCATGGGATATACACTCGATTGCAGTTGCCCACTGCTTGGGGACTGTTCCTGTCAGAGATACTAGTGTATTTGTTGCAATATCGTCTGTCCATCTGAGAAGATGCCGTTAGAAGGAGGAGGAGAGCGGAAATTTTAATGGGATGGGGGAAGAGAATGGGATGTATCAAAGTAGAGAGAGAAAGAAAATAGTGTAACTGAATAGCGTATTTAGTGGCTTAGGGCTAGGAGGTAACCAAAATTAAATATTTTGCTATAAACCTTAAAATCTATAGAATATAATTTTTTAAATGATATTTATTTAAAATAAATAAGGTGTTAACCTTTGCTATAGGAGGTAAAAATTCCTATTAAATTCCAAAATCACCCATCGTGGGATAATTTTTTGCTGCCTTTTCAAGTATTTACCTTTCATATATTATGGGTCACCCGTCGTAAAAATGCTACCACATAGCCACTTTTAGGGCGTTGGAATATTGCTAGTATTTATAAAGTACTAATTGAAAAATAGTCGGAGCTTAAAAAATGCAGCAAAGTGTCACGTCATTAGTTGTTAACTAAGTACACGTGCGGCACTTGACAACTTGTTCACGATCTTGCACAGCTTGCTCACGTTCTTGTTATGCCAAGTCCGCCTTACTACACTCAAGATCGCTAAGAGAATGTTAGAAAGAACATAAGAGAATTGTTAAAGAAAGCTTTGTATTGGAGAGAACTTGAATTGTTTGCTTGGTGAATTACAAATGAATGGCCCCCTTATATACTAGTCTCTTAGGGGCTAGTGTGTAGATAATAATTACACAAGTTCTTAATATTTACAAGATAAGGGATTTCTAATAGAATTCTCTACAAGCCTAGAAGATTCCAAGGACTTTCCTAGCAAATCCATAAGGATCTAGGTTCTTCCTAGGGAAATGTCTATACTTCTCTAGAATATTCTCACAAATGCTAGCCTTCTTCTTATGTAAGCTTCCACATGGCATTAATATATGTCAAATGGCACCTATGTGGTATGATGATGTGGCGGGTCATCACACTCTCCCCCACCTAATATTGCGACAACCGTGGTGCAATGCTGCTCGATAAACTCTCGGATCTTATCTTTGAATTGCCATAAGTCTTTATATCGTTCCCATGTGGCCTATTCCGGTGATTTCCCCTTCCAATGGACGAGGAACATGACTGTGGCTTTTTGCCCTTGTTTTCGCCTAGCCTGGTAATCCATAATAGCCTTAATCTCCCGATCATGAGAGGCGGTGATAGTCATAGGTGCTCGACTTGATTGGTCCCTACTCGGATCATCTTTATCTCCATGATATGGCTTAAGCATGCTGGCAGGGAAGACATGGTAGATCTTAAGATACGATGGCATGTCAAGCTTGTATGAGATCTTGCCTACCTTGGTGACGATCCTAAATGGCCCCTCATACTTGCGAATCAGATTCTAATGCATGCCCCGTAGTGCCTTGAACTGTCTTAGGTTAAACTTCACCATGACCATGTCCCCAACTCTATAGTCCGTGGGACAGCGCTTACGGTTCGCAAATTTCTTCATCATCTTAGCTGCCCTATCCAAGTAGGACTTAGCAGTGTCAAGCTGCTCCTCCCATCCTTTGGCCATATGATAAGCCCCCAAACTTTTTCCCTCGAACGGAGCTGGTAATGAATGTGGAGTTTGTGGCTGTTGGCCTGTGGCTAGCTGAAATAGTGTCCGCCCGGTGGACTCACTCTGCTGCAAGTTATAAGAGAATTAGGCGATGTCTAGGAGCCTTGCCAAATCTTTCTGATGTGCGTTTACATAATGCCTCAAGTAGCATTCTAGTAAGGCATTGATCCGTTCCGTTTGTCCATCTGTCTGTGGGTGGAAACTAGTGGAAAAGTGCAATTCCGTGCCAAGTATGTCGAGTAACTCTCTCCAAAAGTTTTCAGTAAAACGGGGGTCTCGATCACTGATAATATGCCTTGGTAAGCCCCAATACTTCACCACGTTCTTAAAGAATAGCTTAGCGGCTTCCTTGGCAGTGCAACCTGGTGAGGCAGGCATGAAGGTGGCATATCTGGAAAATCTATCCACGACCACCATAATAGTATCATAACCGTCTGACTTCGGTAGACAAGTGATAAAGTCCATAGTGACGCTCTCTCATGGACGCTCCAACTAGCAGTGGCTCCAAAAGTCTTCCGGGTTATTGTTGTTCAACCTTGTCCTATTGACAGATAAGACAAGTTTGCACATAGCACTCTATGTCATATCGCATGCGTGGCCAACAATAGACTGACTCAACCAAGGCCCTAGTGCGAAGTTGACCTGATGACTAGCCCACATTGTGTCATGACTCTCCCTTATTATTCGTCGTCTAATGTCTCCAAACTTAGGCACGTAGACCCGCCGACCTGTGGTAAGTAGTAGGTCGTCTTCTATCCAAAACCGTCTCGTCTTGCCTTTGTTGGCTAACTCGATGAGCTGTTTGGCTGTTGGATCATGCTGCATGCCTTCTTTTATAGCCTCCTGAATGTCCTATCTTGCTGAAGTGATTGCAGCAAGCTCGGCTTTCCGGCTCAAGGCATCGGCTATAACGTCACCTTTGCCCAGCTTATACTCCAGCGCATAATCAAACTCGGCTAAGATATCCTGCCACCTAGCTTGTTTTGGTGTGAGCTTCTTCTGCGTCTGAAAGTAGCTAGTAGCCACATTGTCGGTCTTGACCACGAACCTCGACCCGAGCAGATAATGTTTCCATGTACGAAGGCAATGCACAATGGCAGTCATTTCCTTCTCTTGCACCGTGTAATGCCACTCCATCTCATTTAACTTGCGGCTCTCAAATGATATGGGATGCTTATCCTGCATCAGGACACCCCAGTGGCGAAGTCTGAGGCATCTGTGTGCACCTCAAATGTCTAGGCAAAGTCAGGTAACGCCAAGATTAACTCCTCTATTACAGCTGCCTTAAGACCTTCAAATGCCTTTTGACAATCCTCCGTCCAAACCCATGGCTTGTTCTTCTTTAGCAACTCAGTCAATGGTGCGGCCTTGGCTGAGTAGCAACTAATGAACCGACGATAGTAGTTAACAAGGCCAAGGAAGGATCTTAACTTAGTTACCTTTGTAGGTGCCTCCCACTCCTGGATTGCACGTACCTTAGCCTCGTCCATTTGTAGCTCGCCATTGCTAATGACAAGGCCTAAGAAGTGCACCTTTGATTGTGCAAACTCACATTTCTCCCTCTTGATGTATAGCTCATTCTCCCGCAAGACTTGGAAAACCTTTCTTAAGTGCTCCATGTTCTCCTCCAAGGTGTTGTTGTAGATAACTATGTCGTCTAGGTAGACTACCACGAACTGATCAAGGTAGGGATGGAAAATCTTGTTCATAAGGGTGCAAAATGTGGCTGGGTGCATTGGTTAAGCGGAAGGGCATCACCAACCACTCAAAGGCTCCATATCTCGTCACACATGCTGTCTTTGGCTCATCCCATTACGCAATGCGAACCTGGTAGTAGCACTTTCGAAGATCCACCTTGGTAAAGTACTTATCTTGCCCAAGTCTATCGAACAAGTCAGCAATGAGCGGGATCAGGTACTTATTCTTCACTGTGACCTTATTAAGTGCTCGGTAGTCTATGCACAAACGCAACGATCCATCCTTCTTCTTCTGGAAAAATACTGGTGCCCAAAAGGTGCCTTTGATGGGCGAATGTGACCAGCATCTAGCAACTCTTTCAATTGTTTCCTGAGCTCCTCTAGCTCGGGCGGTGCCATACGATATGGGGCAAATGCGGGTGGATTAGCCCCTGGCTCCAACTCAATCTTGTGATCCACCTCTCGCCTAGGCGGCAGGTGCTTAGGCAACTACTCGGGCATGGCATCTTTGTTTTCCTCAAGTAACTTCTCTATACAAGGTGGCAGTGTTTCTTGAAAACTCTTGTCTTCCTCTAGACTTGCAATGGTTGCCACGAACGTCGGCTCCCCCTACTTGATCCCCTTGACAACCTGCATAGCTGAGAGTTGTGCTTAGATCTATCCGTGTGGCATAGTCACTATAGGTACCATGCAAGTTCCTTCTCGCTCCATAACCAAGAGACGTTGGAGGTAGGGGTCGATCAATGTATGACAAAGTCTAAAGAATTATTGCCCCAGTATGATGTCAAAGATATCCATAGCGGTTACGGTAAAGTTTGTCATACCTTTCCAAGCTCCCAATTTGACACCAACTCCATTAGCTACAACACGAGCATTTTGTACCTCGGCATTCACGGTCTTGACGCGGGCATTAGTTGGAGCAAGCTTCAATTCTAGTTTCTTAGCGGCAACCTCAGTCACGAAATTATGAGTTGCTCCAGTATCCACCAATGCACGAGCGGACTCGTTGTTAATGGTGAGATCCACGTACTGATTGCCATTCTCGGTAGGTTGGATAGCTTGCTTTGTGACAACACCACATAATCTGATCATACCCAACTGTGCGGTTCCCGAACTCTCTCCTTGCGGCTGCTCCATCAATGATTCGGCCTCCACTATGGCTTGGTCTATATCAGTGACTTGTCGGCGTTGCAACTCCTGCTTAGCCCAATTTTGCAACCCGTCCATGAAGTGGAACAACAAGTCATCATTGGTCAGGTTGGGGATTTGAAGAATAAGGGTAGTGAACTCCTTGACATAGTTACGTATGCTCCCTGTTTGCTTAAATTCCCTAAGCTTGCGCCTTGCCTCGTACAAGACATTGTTTGGAAAGAACTGTCGCTTGAACTCGGCTTTGAACTGATCCCATGTGCTAATAGTACATAGACCTTTATCCACGTCGGTCATCTTCCTTCTCCACCATAGCATGGCAGTCTCTGAGAGGTACAATACCGCATTGTTGATCTTGGCCTCGTCGTCCCTCACTTTGCCGTGCCTAAAGTAGTTCTCCAAGTGCCAAAGGAAGTTTTCCACCTCTTGTGCATCACGAACACCTTTGAACAGTGGGGGTTTGGGAGCCTCGATCTTGGCCTCCCTCGTCACCACAACATTGTTGGCTGCCTCGGTCATGCCAGCATTGACATGCTCCTCGAGTGACTCTATCTTTGCCTTCATAGCATCGATAGTACTCAAAACCTCCATGAGTCTGTACGCTAAGGTAGTGATGGTTTGCCTTAGTTCCACCTCGGTCTGTTTACGTCCCTCCAAGTCATTTCGGATACTCTCAATCTCTTCAAGAGTGTGCCCCTCAAGAACGCTAAGGGTGCCTTCCACCTTCCCCAAGCGTTGGCCAAAGATCTCCACGGCGTCTACCCCCGCGTTCATCTTCATCACTCACTTTTTACCGAGCGAGACGTCGTCGGGAAGGACCTCCACTTCATCCTCGCTCGCCTCAGTGGCAGATGGTTCTTGGGATGCAAGCCCTTCGTTTGACACAACCTCGGGTGGCACCTCCTGAATCTTATTGGTGTCATTCCTCTTTTTGCTACGACCGCTCTTGCCAATAGCATCCTGAATGACGTTGGCTTGGGTGTTGGCAGCGTTAATTTCTCCGTCGTTCGCCATTTCCTTAGTTGAAACCTGGCTCTGATACCACGTTGTCACGTCCTTAGTTGTTAACTAAGTATACGTGCGGCACTTGACAACTTGCTCACGATCTTGCACAGCTTGCTCACGTTCTTGCTATGCCAAGTCAGCCTTACTACACTCAAGATCGCCAAGAGAATGGTAGAAAGAACACAAGAGAATTGTTAAAGGAAGCTTTGTATTAGAGAGAACTTGAACTGTTTGTTTGGTGAATCACAAATGAATGGCCCCTTTTATATACTAGTCTCCTAGGGGCTAGTGTGTAAATAATAGTTATTACACAAGTCCTTAATATTTACAAGATAAAGGCTTTCTCTAGAATTGTCTACAAGCCTATAAGATTCCAAGCACTCTCCTAGCAAATCAATAAGTATCTAGGTTCTTCCTAGGGAAATGTCCTTACTTCTCTAGAATCTTCTCACAAATGCTAGCCTTCTTTTTATGTAAGCTTCCACAGGGCATTAATATATGATGACTTGGCGGGTCATCACAAAAGACTCAAAGTAGTTCAAATGGAGAAGTTTTATTGTGTGTCTCACACAACTTACATTAGTTGTGTGAGGCTCTTTTTTGTCTCACAAATTTGTGGACCCCAATCTTACACTTCTGGGTCCACAAAAATCTGGGTCCACAAAACTATGAGACAAAAAAGGAGCCTCACACAACTAGTGTCAGTTGTACGAGACACAAAATAAAATTTTTCATTGAAATGTAACAACATAAACTTCAGGAAATTATAGTGTAATTTGACCTGCTGCTAGTGGAGTTCGAAACTTTTAAAGTCGAACGGTTGAAAGTTTATGGAATATATATTCAATTATGGAGATATTTTATTTAGCAATTTTTGGAAAGGAAAAATTGGTTGCACATTATCGTCTTCTTAGATGCTTAGGATTTATGGAATGCATGTTTAATGATAGAGGTTTTTGTTTAGCAACTATTAACACTATTGTCGTAACAATATTTGACAAACGTCTCTCAAGTTTAATTTTTGCTTTCTTCAGTGGCTAGGTATTTATTGAGTCCTATGCTTTATAAATTATAATTAAGAGAGAAATGTTACGAAAGAACAAGAACATTAAACCAAGATGGTGGTAAAAAATTGAGGACAATTTAAATTTCAAATTAGGTGTTGAAGTTTTGAACTATCAAAGCTTAACTTCATATCCATCATCTAAGTTCGAAATGTCATTCAAACTTCAGAGCTCATAAAATTAAGACTTAATTGAAATTTAGACCCAAAATTTTAAGTTTGATTCCTAAGCGACTAAACTTTAAATATTTTATAAATTTTGACTATATTTTAAGTAGCAATCCTAAAAGCAACTATTAAGCTAGTAAAGTATGCAAGTAGTCCATAAAGTGGATGGTCTTAAATTTTTGGAACTTCAAATTTAATAAGTATTATTCTTCGCTTTCCTATGGACAAAAATTTTAACTTTTAACTTCCAAGTTCTGTCCACGAGTGAAACAGTAATTAAAATTGAAAGACCACAACCAAAAAATATAATATTTCTGCAATTTTTTTCTAAATTGCACTTCGCCACAACAAAATACTATCAAAGACCCACGTCTTAATTGATTTTATTAAAAAGTAAGCGGTATTGGTAATTCCACGTGGCCATATTATGGACATTCTCAGTGACTAGTAATTGGAGCTCCCTTTAAAGAATTGGAAACTATTGTTTGATGTAAATTGTATTCCAAGAAGAATTTTAAGAGCAGAGGCAAGGGCTAATTTTAACTACCTTTTTGTATCTGGCAAACTTGTTTCTGAAATTGGTTCCAATGAACATGGCGTTCAGTGCACCTGCAAGGTTCGCAGGTTTTTTAACTGTAAGGCCGCCGGCTCATGCTCGATTCCGCCGGCAATTCACTCCGTTTGCGACTTTATCAACTCCGCCGACCACCAGCAGTAGCAGCCGTGAAACGGTGGATTGGGTGAAGGCAACTGCAAGTTTCTTTGAGGGTGATAATCGCCCTATTATGTTATTCGATGGTATGGTTACATGTAGTATGGTTTATTCTCCTATTTTTCCAATACCCTTGATTTCCTACATCACTTTTCTTTTTTCAGTTCATTTAGGAATATATGTTATATGTAATAAATTGTGGTGAAAGGAAGGGGTTTTAATGCTGCGAAGCAAGATTAGGCATTTAGCAATTAATTTTCTACTGTTTAATACCTCCTTGGTACTATTTTATTGAATAAAATTTACCTTTCAGAGGAAAAAAAAGGGTATTTACCATAAAATGATTGAATTTGCTTGCTGTTTATTTAACAAGAATGTGATTTTAGGTATTTTTCCTGCTCCTTGTTGCACAACATAAGTATCCTTAGTTCCCTAATGTTCAACTTGCTGCCTGCCTTTTATGAATTTGTCAATTCTCATTCACAACTTTGTCATCATTTTTATTTTGTCTCTGTTGATGTATTTGAAACAAATTTTCAAGTTTTGACCACAGCTATTCCAAGCCTCAGAATTTCTCCATGTTATCATGAAATGCAAGTTTAAAATTTATGATAATCGATCTCGGATAGTGTAGCAATCCTCTGTTTGGTGGTTTTGGACTACATAGCGCATGAAACTAATTAGAAATGTTTTGCATGTCTTGCAGGCGTGTGTAATCTGTGTAATGGAGGTGTAAAGTTTGTCCGTGATAATGATAGTACAAGGTTGGTGTTCTCACCTTTTCTTGTTTTTGGCTGAAAGGATGTCTACATTCAAACTTCCTTCCCTCTGTACAATCAAGCTCTTTAAGTATGGTTTATTTTTATATGAAAGAAGATATCTGTCTCAGCAAATGTGATGGCTCCTGATCAGATATTCTAGTGGTTTACAAAGTTATGTGTCGTGACCGGAGCTATGTGCTAGTTCTGCTTTCAGAAATTTACCTTATGTTTACCCTTGATGTTTGTTCTATCATACTATTACTGTTTTGGTTAGTGTTTGAGAGCTCCCTCTGCTGCATAATTTTCCTAAATATATTTGGTAATATTCTACTTCAGATAGAATATAGAATGGAAATTGAAATGGTGAGCCCAGGTCAAAAGTCGTTGTCTCTTAACTATTTGATGAATAAAAGGCTCGCATCTTATTAAGAAGAGTCTGCTAAGAGAAACTATCTGAGCTCATCTAATTAGAGAAGGGAATGTTATTGACTCTTACCAGTCAGGCTTCTTAGTGTAATCATCATCAGTTGATGTTCCTTGATTATTTGATTCTCATCAAGGTTACTACTCCTTTGATTCCACATTCCGTCGATATCCAGGAGAATTAGGTATGAAGCTTTACAAAGTGAAGCAGGGAAAAATCTGTTGAGGAGATCCGGCAGGGCTCCTGATGATATTTCAAGTGTTGTGCTTGTTGAAAAAGATAGGTATGCTGTATGTTCCAATTAAAAATTGATATGTATGCTGTCTAACGTGGCTCTAATGCTGAACCAAGATTATTCTTGTTTTTTTTTGGTGGGAAGGCGAGGGTGGGATAAGGATCATAACTTTATACTTAGTGCACAAACAAACTAAACACAAACTTTTTTCAACTTCGACTTCAATTTTTTCTCAGCTAACTCAAATTTTATCCAGACGCATACTAAAATGGCAGTAATCACGGAATGAGTAGCTAGTGAAGACTGTATTCATTTCAGGTCTTATGTAAAATCCGAAGCTGTTCTGAAGATTATGGAGTACATTAACTTGCCTTTCCCTCAGCTAGCCTTTTTCTTACAATTTGTGCCTTTGTAAGTTTTCACTGTTCTGATCCCAGTTTTAACTTAGTGGAGTATAAGAACTTGCTTCATCTTCTGGTGCTTAATTCTTCCCTCATTTTAGCAGATTCATACGAGACTTTGCATATGATAATGTTGCCAATAACCGTTATGCACTCTTTGGCCGCTCCGATTCATGTGAGATATAACTGGAGGTGCCAAACACTCTTTAGGTGCTTCGGTTCATGTAAGAATTGAGATGGCGCAACATCATTTGATTGCAGACATACAGAAACTGGTACTTTTTCTATCGTGCAAGTAAAATACTCTCTTGTGTAGAACATAATTTGATATAGTTTATAATCACTTGCTGCTATCTGCAAGTTTAGAATCTAAACTTCACTATTCTTATCTTATTGTATGGTTCTGGTGTTATGATTACTTACACAATTGAGAAAGAGAATGCTGGACAATAGATCATATTAATTTGATTCTATATTAAAGTTCTTATTTTCTATCTGACATCTTGTTCTGACAATTAATTGTATCTTTTATGTTGGTGCTGGTAAAGGTAATTTGCGGTTTTGTACATAAGTTCCAACTCTAATATTGTGATTGTACTGTAAAATACTAAAGGTCCGAATGAAATGCTCTAGGATTTATTTTGTCCCTCTAATTCGGATATAATGTTGCATACAAAGATAAAAGTAGCTTCTGAGCTTATCGGAAAAAGAATTAATTGTGGCTCTAATTAGTCTTCATTAATGAATTTGTATCCATAAGCCTTGAGTCTAGTGATTCCCTAAATAGCGGTATAAATATAAACCTATTACAGTTGATCAGCATGTTTTGCATAAAAAAATTATTGTGGCTATTGAAACTATCAAGATAAGTAAAAACAGTGGTGGCTTTTCACTAGTTATTTGGTACAGAAACTGTATCCATAAGCCTTGAATCTAGTAATTCCCTAAAATAGCTATAAATCTATAACAGTTGAGAATAATGGTACAACAAGTCTCTCCTTCCTCCCAACCCACCCTATAGTTTATTGTTGAACAATAAGGTATGTTGCATAACATCATATATAACTATGGCAGCAGACAGCTCACAACAGGCCTAGTATGAGTGTGTCTTCCATGAGCACTAATGCACTTGGCATGAACAGGGTTACCCTTAACAGATGATATATACACACGATCGAGAAGTATGTTTTTGCAGCCAACAGTTTCGCTGCAGCTCAGATTTATCACCTCGTCCATCAGGGATGTCCCTGATATTCCTCTGAATGTTATGTCGCTCAATGCAACTGCAGCTGTCTGTGTTAAATTAGTCAAAACAGTCACTTAGGAATGAAATTCAACTGTTAGTAAACAGTTCACTAGAAATTGAACTTATATACACTGAGATTTTAACACGGCCACTGCATTTTAACTTGCTATAGCGGGTAAACTATCTTGTTTTCTTGGTTACTAATGTCAAACTGTTAGAAAGTAGTTCACTAGTAATATGCGGATGCTGACTAAAGAAGCATCAACTTGTGCCAACATTTGCAAACAGTAACTCTTTTTCTATTTTTATTTCTTGGTTTATTTTTCACATTTGAATGTTAGTGTATTAGAGTAGTAAATATATGTGGTCTCACATCATTTTTGCAATTGACTCGGCTGGGACAGTAAAACTGGTCGATGATGATGGGATTGTTGACTGCAACCAATTTTATTCCTTCAAAAGTTATCCTCCTTGCATACCCTTCGCCTCCCTGTTCCATTTGAAAACTAACATGTTAGCTTAGTTATGGCTGTAAAAATGAACTGTTTATATTTGTCAAGTTTAAATGATTAATATTGTCAGAGTATTTTGCAACTGATGAAAAAACGAAGTGCACATTATTACCTGCCAGGTCTTAATTCTTACTCCTGTTAAGGTTTCTTTAATCGTGCAATTTCGTATGAGCACATCTTCCACAATTTCAAATCCTCCTTCTCCCAAGGATCCAATACTACAGCCATAAAAAAAATTCAAAATTTTTATGCACAATTTTACAATATTCTAGTAAACTAGATTTGAAAAACCAGCAACTAATTACCTAATACCATGGCCTGGTCCGCATGTTATGCCGCTAATATTGACATTGGACGATCCTCCTCCTATTGCAATACAGTCGTCGCCTATCATAATTCATTGCTCAAATTATGTGGAGAAGACCCGTTATAATAGGAAGCAAGTAAATTTTGTACCCGTAACTAGGGGTGGCAAACGGTTGTGTCGGATATGGGATGAGTTGAAAACGGGTAATGAAAAAATAAATAAATTATCCAATCCAACCCATATTTAATACGGATAAAAAAGGGTTATCCGGCGGATAGTATGGTAACCATATTATCCATGATGACTTCATGAATATGATCACTTTTGGGAGAATTTTTTGTCTCCCAAACTTGAGGAACCCTCAATTTGAGGTTTTTGCAAATGTAAAAGTTAAACCCGGTTATTCATTTTCTAAATGAATAATATAGTTCTTATCCATATTTGACCAGTTTTTAAAAACTTCATTATTCAACCTATTTTTTAGTGGTTAATATGGGTGGTTATTTGTTTCTTTTAACCATTTTGCCTCCCTGCTCGTAATTAAAAGTTGTAATTCGACAGAAGGGGGGTGGGGGTGGGGGGTAACAGGGGTAACTTATATATACTGACAATGTGATTTACCTAGTATAGCAAGTTGCTTGCTTTATTTTTAAGATTAGTATAATTTCACTTATTAATGAGCAGCTACCTTAATTAAGTTATATTTTAAGTGACTTGACATTGTAATAAAAAATGACATTATGAAGATTATTTTACATTGTAGGGAGTAGAAATCAATTTGTACCTGTTGCAATGAGGGAATTGTGTAATCGTACGTTTGTGCTAGCGGAAACGTCTATACCATCGGTGTTGGGACTATCACCAGGGGACATAATACGAATATTAGCAATACTAACTTCATTGCAAGCAGTCAATATGATATGACTTCTAGCACTTCTAATTAGCGTTACACCCCAAACTCGAAGCCAGTCGCATCGTCTGAAAATCAATGCCTATATATATACGAAGATCATCACATTACGTGCATACAGGAAATCTGAGAAATAGATTAAGTGTATACTCACAGTTGGTCCTTTGCATTGTGTTTCCTGGCCAAAAAATAATTCCATATGTAAGAAATTTTGCTAGAAACTTAAAAGGCTTTTTTTTTTCTTCAGTTTTCGCCATAGAAGATTGTGAAAATATGCTTTAATTAATGCTTACTTGGGATGGGTTGTTATCATCCAAGCAAGGATTAGACCACCATACATGGCCTTGGCCGTCAAAAACTCCATTTCCATTAACAGTAAGATGGTCGATATTCTCGAAAATGAGCCATGCATTGGTGGCACGTCCATCCCATCCCGATTTTGAGCTAGGTGCAATTATATTTCCTGATACCTGCAAACAGGCACACACACAAAAAAAAAGATTAAAAATTTAGTTATCAGATATCTCAGCATTGTTTTGATCTAGGTTAGTTAAATGAGTAATTAACTTTTATACATTGATATAATCAGGTCACTTAAAGATAATTACGTATAACTATTCGTAATAAATAGAACTAGAAAACTGAGAACCTGCGCTGTAGTGTAAAAACTCGATATATTGTTTGTGGTATATAAGTTAATTAAATCCTAGTTAAATATGCTTGTTTTGTTGCTTAATGTTGAGAAAAAAGGCTGAAGGGAATGACCTGAATATGGATAAAAGAGGGTTTGCATGGACCCTCAAATGTTGAAGGAGTCAGTAAGAATTTCTTTCTTTCTGGTATAACAAGAATTACACGGCTGGATTCCGATTGACAGACAGCTTCCCATGCCTTGAGGAAAGCCTGCATAATATCCACAGTTCAAATTATACATCCATATGTTTAGAAATTCTCACATATTCGAGGAAATAAGAGTTTTAGTTGCTCTACATTGGTGTAAATGCACTCGAATGCTAGAAAATTTAAGAAATAGTAATGGTTTTTACGTACTGGGAGATCATCAGTTTTTCCGTCTCCAACTGCCCCAAAATTCACGACATTGAAAGTTTTAATGTCATCAGCACTCCATACAGGAGAAACCATGCACAACAAAACCAAGAAAATTCCCAAGTAAACCTGCAAATTAAACCACATCATCATGATCCAAAAGCTTAATTTAGACCCTCGTGCCAAAAAAAAAAAAACATTTTTTTATTAATTCTCAAATGTAGCATATAAGTTTATATATTATCATTTGTGTGGAAAATAGAAAAAACTCAATAGAAAAGAAGTAATTAGTGATCAAATATCTAGACAGACACAAATAAGGAATTTTAGATTTTAGTTTTCGGTTAAGATTTTCAGTGATCAAAGGAAAACAACAAGAACGGCTTTGGGTTAACTGAACTTACCATTGTAGTAGCAGCTAGTACAAGAACCATGCATAATCAGAATGTGCAGATCTTCTAGTCATATAAATATAAGCATAGAAAGATTAAAAAGCCATGATACCCTCCACCACTTAAGATTGAAGTCACACAACCTTTTTCGCATCAAAATATATAAAAAATTCCGCCACTATTTACCAATATGATCATTATATATTGGAGTAAATTCTCCAGCTTCTCATTTAATTAATTCCACAGATTTGACTAATATTTTTTTCTTTTAGATCAAGTGACTTAATAACCCTCTTGGATCTATCACTTTTCACGTCTAACGAAGCAAAGAATAGAAATAATAGCTGACTTAACGCATAATTGCCTGATTTACGAATTACGCAAGAGGTATATTTGTACTTTTTGTATGGAGTCCAGGAAATTTTACTTTTATATGGGCGAGTTAGCTGTTAGAATGTAAAACACAAAGCACGATGGAGCCTCCTTTCACTTCAATCGAAAACAGATAGTAATTGAATGCGATATGAGATGCTTGAAGATGCTTGAACACTTTTGTAATATTCCTCAAATCTATAAGAGTTTCAAGACACGCTAAATATAAAATTTAATTTTTTCTCCTTAAATTATACTTCGATTACAGATTTAAACCCTTGTGATTGATTTTGAGTTAGTTCTATATTTATAAATAAGTGGATATACAATTAGAAAATATTAATAATTTTAATATTATTAATTATTAAAAGTGAGTATCATTAATTATTAGTTAAGTAAAAAAAAAAACCAAACAAAACAAAAAAAAGGACAAAATAACAAAAAAGGGTGGGGAACAATCCTAAAGCCCTTAAGCCCATAAAAGGGCTGTTGAAAAGCGTAAGGCAGGCTTAAAGCCTTAAGCCTTGAACGAAGAGGAGGGGGGGGGGGGGGTAGGGAAAAAATCCAAACAGACTTCTGCGTATAAGAAACAGAAGCACGTCCCAGCGAAATACTCACGTAAGCAACGAAAATTTTTAGGTTTCTTTACAAATCACTAATTCTTGAACTCAGGTATATAAAATTTCCTATTCTCAATTATCCTACAGTATAAG